TGGAAATAATGTTGTTTCGGCAGTGTGATTCCGGTACACACGGTTGTAGGTTGTAGGTGGATTTTCCTATGTCTTGGACAATTTACCATACATTCTCCCACTTCCATCTTTTTTGATACATACGGTGGACTTCTATAAACCATCTTTTATATTCCGTTTCCTTTTTAATAACTTACTGTTATATTTTAACTTTTCCACTTTTATTCAACTTCGCAATTAGGCATGGTACAGATCAGTTTTTAGATTTTTGGAGGTACGGAACTCTTTACAAATACGTTGCGCAAGTACCCAATAAAACCCTTGCTTTTTGAGAACGCAGGAACAGGTTGTTCTGATGAACAACAGCCCGCATTCAAAATCGCGCCAGTGGCGGATAGAACGGTCCCTCTCGCCTCGCAGAATGCGCCGAGCGTAGATCAGATCGCCTCGGCGACGCCGATATTCCAGGGAGAACATATTCAAATGCTGGAGACGTATGTGATGTGGTAGGCGTCGGAACTCAAAATGTACTTAGAACCGCTTCGCTGAAATTTTCAATCAAGCCATGCTCAAGCTTTGTAGGTGGATGAACTGCGGGTAATCCATATTCGAGGAATGGATGCACATGGGAGCTGGCCACTAGTGGCAAGGCAAACGGTGTGAATTCAAGATCGCGAAGCTATCCGATTGGCTGCGAGGATGTGATTAGAATTGGGTAGGGGTTTGTGTATATTCTAGTCAGCTTAACCTGAAAATGTGTGTGAATGCACCAATATGACGATTACTATTGGTAACCGTTGGCACAAAAATCAACGATGTCAACAAATGTGAAGGACGATGAGTTACTATCTGGTAGGTAGAAATCACGCAATATCCTTGTTTCTTCTTTGGAAAAGGATGCAATAAGCTGGTATATCTCTGGCAGCTGTGAGTAGCTTATTGACAGTCAAAATGATTGTGGCACTGGTGGGATCCATTTCGCATTGCGAAGGTTCTGAACGATATTCTGGAAAGCTTTGTGGTAGTATTATGAAACATAAAATGGTTGTAGAAGTTGTCAGGTTACAGTGAAATGTTAAGTAATGAAAGTAATAAAACAGCTGTCTGGACACGAATAGGTAAATCGGTTCACGACGAAGTGAAGAAGCTTTCATGGGGCCTCTCTTCTGCTCTCTACTACTCAGTGAACTCAAGGATTAAATGCACTTACATTTAGAAAATTAACCGTCGCCGTGAGCGGAATACGTCGATCTATCTGTAAATGTAAATGTAATTGAGGCTGTACGGGGGGTAAGTAAATGAATTGATGACCCGCTCAAGAAGGAACACTTACGAGATTTATCCTATCGTTCCAGTCCCACTTGAACTTGACCTTGAGGTGGTTGCTAATGAAATAGATATACAATGTGGGAGAAGTAGGTTTGGTAAACAACTAGCATTAAATGATGCTAATGGATGCAACACGATACCACGGTACTAAGCACTGGCTTCGAATGGATTGCTAGGATACAGATATCCCCTACGATTTCAACCGTAATTAAAGATGAGCCGTCTACATATGTAGCTTACATTTATTTCTAACCGCTTGGTAACTTCCGCAGGATTTGTTTGATGAAGCCGTCCGGTAAATTCGGCAGCACTTGG